ATACTTCGACTATGACAATTTAGATGGAAAATAAGCATAAGCATTAGCTAACAGCAGCAGTTTTACACGCCGATTGTTTTGCCGTAGACTAGTAGATAAGGCGGGCTCATCAGGTGTGCAAGGATGGACTCAGATGGAGAGCCAATAGTAAATTTATGGTGAAGAACAGCAAGTTAGTTGCAGAACGTCAGTAGTTATGGTCAGTTTTGTGCAATGATAACGCATGAGCTAATTACGAAGTAACTGGTGGTTTTAGTAGACCTTTTAGCGTAACTTGTAGTTTCTTGACCCTTTTCGTCACTATAGGTTCATACATTTTTCCAGCTGTGCTGCGATCCACAGTTAATTGGGAACTCGTGGCCTGGCACGAGGTTAACATGGATGCAGCTAATGGGATTTCGGTCTTTGACCACTTGGTTGTGGGTCTGATCTACTCACCTCCCAACGTTTAGGCGCTGCATCTGCGCCTTTGATCCTAGAGGGTGGTGGCGTTCCCACGGCGGATGCGGAAAACTCGGCTTCTAGCGGAGTCTCACGCGAACCGTGAATTTTTTTATTTTAAGTTCACGATTAGTTATCAAATTACGCCTGGGTCCAAATCCCCTCCAATTTACGGGTAACGTAGGAAGGTTATAATTCGCTCTCTCTTTCGCTCTCTCTCTCTCTCTCTCGCACAAACAAAAACTTCCATGAAAATTGAAAGTCAGATGATCGGTGGCCGGAATAGATGAAAAATTGGAAATTTCATTGATTTAACTTAAGCGGGCAATCACTCATCAAAACATCCCTGAGATAAAACAACGCAGGAGTAAGTACATTCTACCCTGGCATTGCAGACAGACGCATACCAGTGAACGTCTTCACAGAGTATGGACGAAGTAAGTTCGAATGCAGTGACATTATACTTGGGGACCTTGTTATGTTCTCGTGCACACCACTACTACTAGACAACAGGAACTATTTCTAGTTTGGTGACAAGATAATAGAAACTAATTATTTACATTCTCAAGTGGGGAAGAAGAGCAAGGAGAAGAACACATGAATTCAGAATATGGATGCGTGGATGCGTCCAATAGAGATATGACGTAATCACGTGAAGCAAGGCGTATAACGTAACAATACGCGTTATACGGGTGATAATAACTTGAAGTACATGCGCAATACATGAGTAGCTAGCATGATACATCAGACCTCATAATATGAGTTACTACTTGCATTGTGCGTATCTATATTGAGTTCTGAATTATTTTTGATTTGCCTGTAATCCTTCTGAAGAGATGGCCACGAAAACGTTCAAGGAACAAGTTATTATACATGAAAATAAGATTTACTAATGGTGTTTGTACTGAGTGCGCAGCTTACTCTAATCGTCGCGTTAATCACATTTCAATCTCCACATAGGCTTTTTAGTTATAATTATAAATACATAATAAGAATCAAACTGAACTGAACAAGTTAGCAAGTTAAACATAGTCATCGACAGATTGCAAGCGACCGACTTTGCAGAGCTTAGTTAATTTCTTTCCACGGAAGAAGGATTAATAAGAAGATAATAATCAGCTTTGCGGGTTCGTACTGGCAGCAAGTTCAGCGCCATACCGTTTCATGGCGCAAATCCAATCTGCGTTAGTCATCATCCTCGACCCTGGTGATGACCCAAGTATGTAGTTACCCAAGCCTCCATAAAGAGCATTAAGGCAGGGACGACTAGACAGTGACAAAGTTTTGCGGAACTTGTTGTACTCAAGAATAGCCGTGAAGTAATCCTCCACCTTCCATGTTCGTCGGTTGCTCTTAATGAAGAGATAGATCACCGAATGTCTTGTTGCGAGATGTGCAGTGGCAGCAATCCATTCTCGAGTTGCAAATGTGTCATCGCTTAACACGTCACTGTATCCATACTCCATATCAACATGATGGAAGGGATTATAGGTCCAAGTATGATCTAAGTGCTGTGTGAGAAGTGCGATCAAATGCGTATCTTTTAGGGATAAGAGTAGTGTTGCATCTTGCTTTGCGACGATGTAAAACCCTTTCGCAAGTTCCACCAGCCTGCAAGAGCGGTGCGTGTAGGACAAGTATGGGATCATCTCTGAAAGATCCTTTTCTATATCCATAATGATAGCACTTCGGTAATGTTCAATGGAGCTGCAACTCTCGGACGACAAATCCGCTAAGTATTTAAGGTGGCAGACTACCCAAAAATTCGCTGAAAAATCGAATTTGTAAATTCATATTGAGTGCTACGTCAGTTGAAAGAGCATGAATAGCTGCAAATTCTCTGAAAATTGTGTCCCTATCTGACCAGCCGTTCAAGAGTTATGGCCGACAATGTGCCCTTGCAAGGAAAGATGTTTTTGTTGCATGCTGTCATTTGTTGGCAGCACTGTATTTGAATGTGAGCAGACCGTGCGCAATTTGTCGTATTATGGAAACACGCGAAGTGTGCAGAATTTTGCCCCAAGTCCAAAAAAGTCCAAAATTCACGTTAAAAAAACACGTATTGTGCTGCACGGCGGCGGGCGAAGCCCGCCGCCGTGCAGCAGGACTTTTGCCAGCACTCTCGTGACGTTGCAGATATGTGGCTTGATTATTGTAGTTGACGTTGATTTACAGTGCATTTCAAATCTATAGACGCGTAGGGTTTTTAAAATATTTCAAATTTGGCTGGAACTTTTTGAGAATAGTTTTCGGTATATTGCTCAGGATCGCTCCACAATTACTCTCATATAGTTTCTAAAGGATTGGATAACAGACGCCCAATTTGGAAAAATGTATGCACAAAGTGATCACAGATTTTATGTGGTATAGATGCTGGCATAACGGTTTTTGCCTAGGTACGCGTCTATAGTTTTGAAATGGACTGTAGTGACTTTGGCAAGTTTGAGTCGTGTCAAGAAGTCAGGTAGGATTCAGTACTAGGCAGTAGTGAAACGTGAGTGGCAGTCTTTGCCGGTTTCTGAGGGCATCCTGGATTTGGTGTGCAGCGCTGTGGAAATTGCTTGCTGTGGAGGTCCCAGCACTGGATGTTGTATCAAAGGTACGACCTCGTAGCACGTGCTAAACCTAAAAAAAATCAAAAATTGACTTGGGTCTGTGGGAGTCCGTGAGAGAACGCCCACTCGTTCCGTTGTGACAAATTCCAGGGCCACGTTGAGGGGCCCTACCCCACAACCCATGGCTGCTTCTGGACTTGTTTTAGGTTTGGATCCCGCGCACGGACAGAATGGGCACGAAAATGTGAAAAAAATGTAAATGCATTTTTTTGGCTCCTGGGTGGCTCGCACGCCGTAGCACTATGCCGGAAATTTGAGTTTTTCCGGCCTGGAAAGCCTGTCAGTGAGGCGCAAGAACTTGTAAATCATGTCCTGAGGGCCAGCATAGTGGCAGGAGTGTGTGGTCAAAATTTCACTCAAATCCACTGAGAAACACCAAAGTTACGGTCAATTGAATGCCATATGAAATTTATGGGTGATGTGCCCCCTTAAGTCTGTACCAACTCTCGCCAAAGTATGTAGCAGAGAAACATGTGACCTCATTGCACGTGTCTTTGATCGACGTCGCTGAAAGGTTCGGAAGGTAGGTAGAAGATTCCTCCGCGTTCAGGCACTGCTCTTGTGCAAATGACATCAACTGCCCAGTGCTTGTCCAGCTAGTAGGCGTATTCACGTTTTCAGGCAGACTCAGCACCAGGCTCGATAATTGCACAGTCAATCGCATTTTGCATTGGAAAACACGACGATCATAGCTACCGAACACGCAGTTTATGAAATCTCTCTTATGGCTATAATGCACGCTAGCTACCCTGGCATCGACGAAGGACTGATATGCACCAATACACGTTTTTAGCGAATGTCTTTGGTTGCATGCACTGATCCTATTCGTTATAATTATCGCTCACGCGCGCTACATTTTTCTCTCTTTCCACCGTCTATCACTGTTCAACCCAGCTGCAGCCATCTACGGCTACTCGAGAAAAATACAATCACGTTGCGGGAGCAGCTAACGACATACGTGTCATTCGCTCTCTGCTCCGCAATTGACGCGTTATTGAAGAAGAACTAATGAAGGATGGCATTATCTCATCACCGTGTTGTCCGGGTTCACGGGCAACCGCTCTGGCGGGTTTTCTGAGCAATGTGGACTGACTATTTTCCGAAAGACTCAGCCTGGGCTGCATGGTGAGTGAAATCGAAGAGGTCAGAGGACAGAAAAACCAAAGTATCTACACCAACAAGCAATGCCAACTTCAGAGAATAGAACCCCCTCCCCGCAGGCACCCACTAGATCAAGCATTGTCACAGAGTCCAGGTGTTGGCCTCAAACATATTGACTACCATTGAACGTTTTCCACAACTTAAAATTCTTCCCTGTTCTCCAGCAACTTTTAAAGCAATCTGAACTTACTTTAGAGTACTTTGCACCACCGCTATTGACCTCAGCGCTAGTATCTCACTATAACTTCAATTATAGAGGTTTTTTGGGCCAGTTAAAGCATTCAAGTGACACTGTAAGGCACATTATACTGGGAATAAATCCCCGCCATAGTTACTGTTTATACTATTGCTGAACTTCCGGTCATCCTCCTCCGGCCCTAGTCCCAACCTAAAATTCTAACCATCTGGCCATTGTCTATGAAGGAAGGTGCAAACAAAATTTCTATTAGATGGCTGTTTTGAGAGCATCCTGGAAGGAAGGTGATCCTAGATGATCGGTTGTTGAAAGTACATTTCAACTGTGGTCGACGTACTGGTACGTGTAATTCATGCATTACGCTATGCTTCTATGTGGTGTGTTCGAATAGTACCCATGCCCGTGATCTTACTGCGATTGATAACAAATACCGTTTCACAATGGAAGGCAACGACCGAAGCCCTCTCATATGCTACTTCCGGATGACGTGCATTCCAAGAATCCCTAGACATCAGCAAAGTGGCAGAGTTTTCATTATAGAATATTTCCGGAACTGGATACAATGATGAAAAGGAAACCAGCTCTAAGCAATGAAAACGTGAAAAGACACGGATTGGTTTACCAGGAGCAAGGTCATTGGATTTCTTCTAGCGAAACAAAATTCATGAAAACAGGGTTATATTGCAGGGAAATGAACAAGTAACGAGGATCCTGAACAGAGAAAGATCGAAATTGAGATTACTTAAATTTAATTGGTCGGAATGTTTACAGAAGATGGTATTCGTACATTTACCAACGCTAACAGTTTTCAAAACTCGCATTCACAATGCAACTAGTTCCAGTAATACAGAGACACGCTGAAAATGACAGCTGTTCACAAAGGAAGTTTACAAAATGAAAAATTCACCAATCTTTAGCAATGCACCCGTCCAGAAATCATGACAATGGGGGCACAAAACTGCACTGGCTGTTGTGATACTGGCATTCTGCTGCTCATATTTCTCTCATTCGTTCTTCTTCATCACGCCGTTTCGAGACTTTTCGTAGCCAGCACCTTGCCATAATCCACCATGGCTTTGAACAATTCGTCTGCTGTCCATTCCTTCCTAGAATGTGTTCCTTGTAAGGCAGGTTGTAGGTAACTTCCCAAATGTAGGTAGAGAGTTGCACGATCAGGGATACTGGACTTTGGCAATCCCTTCAAGAAGTCTTCATACTCCATGACAGCCATGAAATAATCCTCGATAGGAACCGTCCGCATGCTTCCCATTATCAGGAGCTTGACAACAGAATGTTTGGTTGCGAACTGCCCGACGGCGTGTATCCAATGATTTGTTGAAATCGCAGCCTCGTGTTCAGCACACTTGTTCTTACTGACGAAATCCCAATGAACGAAGGGATTATACGTCCATCTAGGAATGATTCGCTCCAGACCATATTCACAAAAGTAGGGACATACCGTGCTCAGGGCTGCCAATAATCTTGTGTCGTGAATTGCAATACTGTAAAAACATTGTGCAACATCAACAAGCCTCCTGGAACGGTTCACGTAGGGTAAACATAATACCAGCTTTGGGATATCCTGTTGAAAATGTTCGATCATAGCTTCTTGGCACTCTTCAGTAGAGCCACATATATCTTGTAACCAGGTCGTCACGTCTTCTATTCTATACACATTCATGTCTGCATCTCCATCAGATGAGTCTGTCCTTTTGTCCTGAAACAACCCAGGCGAAAGGTTGGGAAGAATGTCACAAGCTTCAGCTACGAGGAATAAGTCTACATGGATCAGATCACTCTGTAAACAAGAGAAGGTCCAGCTTGTGAATTCACCGGTAGTTGGAGGCGCCATCAACGCCAGACTCCTTAATTGCTTGAGCAATATATACTTACGGTCGAAAACCCAGCGATTAGCTCTTTCGACAACGAAATCTTTTATGCTATCCCACAGGCTATGATGCAGGCTAGCCACACTGCCTGCTATGTAGAGAATTCGTGCAGCTCGAATATACGACATTTCCAAGTAAGGACTGAGATGATACCGCTTCTGCATGGGATGGAAGCACATAAAAATGACAAATACAGAAAATATCGTTGCATTCATTAGTTTCAGGGAGTTTCAAACAGGACAATTATGAAGAACAAAGGCTTTAACCACCAAATCTTAAACCAGGGACGTAAATTTACATGTAAGTAAATACATGGTTTTAAACATTCAAGCGATGCCGACGCGGATCCCTTGAATATTGTTTTTATATTTCAAAATTAATAATACATGTACACTTTCATCCTGCTGTAGTGTAGCATTTACAATCGACTTGTTCATTCCTGAAGTTTGAACTCGGATGTTGAGCCAATGTAATCATGGAAAATAAATGAAAAACTGAATGTGGTGATATGTGACCTACTGTTCACCAAAGTAACTAGATCATTATACAGTCAGGAAATGTAACAACAAAGGACAAAACCGACATTGGAGCTAGGGTCAGGTCCGCGATGCATTTTTCGGTGCTTTTGTGCCTTTTTGCTGACTTACTTCCTCTGTTAACAAAAAACTTCGTGATCGATTTTTTGAGGGACTGGTTTGCGCACAAACTATGGTGAAATGAGTCGCGATCATTTTCTCGGCCTTGCCTGGCATGTCATGAGAGAGGTACGATTCAAGAAAAGCGACCTTTCCCAACAAGCCGATAGGAATAGATGGTTGCGCTGTGGCAACATAGGTGATGACAGCCATTGCGAATTAAACTGAACATAGGAGTAAGGGATGATATTGGTTCATAAACCTGTACCGGTCTGTCTGTTTCAACAAGTTGTGAATGGCTCATTGTATATTTTGTCGAAGACTCTTTTAAGAGTTTAAACCTGTCACTGAGTAATGTTATTGAATTGACTTTCTGCGAGATAATTATATACAGCAACAGCCACCGCAGTCGACTGTGGACGCCGACACCGACACCAGCTGCTTGTGAGAACAGCTACATTCTCCAAAACACATGGTTGACAATGAAATGAAAATAGGTCGGAAACAGACAGTGCAAAAAAGAAAGAATCTTTGGCTTAGCAAGGAGCCTCTTTGCGATCTCCTTTTGTAATAGAACAATTTGAATAAAGTCTCAAAACAATACAAAAACATTGCACATTGGTACTCACCTGGCATAGATGCTTAAACGTGTACTCATTGAGCAGCAGCTTCTTAACATTCCTCGAAACTCCACACAGCTGAAAGATGTCCAGAATTGACAACATTGGCAATAATGTACCTTGCAACACATCAAATGAAACACTGTCCAGTTCATTCGGGATCGGGCCCTGCTCCATCACCTGCAGATATTCAGATACATGTTGTGATCTCGTTGCATCACTGTTTGCGGATTCTAGATGCAATTCCTCTTGCTGGAGTTTATCATCACCAGTAAGAGTTTGACTAGCAGCAGCCATTAGCTCTGGCATCGCATATGTATTCTCAGTAGTGATGTCATGTTGTGGCTTGGCTACCTCGGTTGCGTCATCGTCGCGAACGTCAGGCTTCTGATGGGCATCCATTGCCAATGTACGCTCCACAAAATTGCTGATTTCCCTGAACAACTGCACACCCAGCCAACGGACACAGAGCAGTACAGTTGAGGATAGAATAACATCTACATGTATATGCCGCACATAGACAGCCACCAGCAAACAAACCAATAATTCGCTAAACAGATAATGCATAGCGCAATAGATACATCTGGGAAAAACATGTACATGGTGTGAATCGGCAATAGCGTCACCTCAAATATTACTTATTGAAAACACGATTTTCTCTCCTAATTATTGCATGCATTATAATACTTTCTTTCAATAGAATTAACGAAACCAACAAATGTCCCAAATAATTAATAACCATTACAAATTGAAGACATTTTTTCCAGTGTGTTGACAGAGTTTAGACTTACCTAGGAGCAGAGACTTGCACCTGGTGTTGTCGGGGTGCAACTACAGTTTCCAGGGGAAAGGGATATCTGAGGTCGCCTGATGATTCGAAAACTGCAAGTGAACTGATGGTAAGCAAGATCGAGAACACTGATTTATACCTTCATACTACTACTAATACTACTGCTGAGTAGTGTACTGTGTAGTGAAGACCTGAGACGTGACAGCTCAGCTCTAACTATACCGTAGGCGTAAAATGAGTTGTCTCTCAGAAGAAGGTCACAGTACATCCACTTTGCGTTATCAACGTTTATTACTGCTATATGGCTGACTGTTGATCCACTAAGCTCTTAGTGGTACAGCAGAAACCTACGTATTCGACACAGATAGACGTGGGCAGCAGACAGTGAGCCTGTATTGGTAATAATTATCGCAATCATCTCTGCACGGCTAGCAGTGCGCAGAGCTGCACGCCACGGCCTCCATGATGTACACACGCACATTTAGCTGACTGATTACTTTGTCACACGCACAACCGCCACTGCATTTTAAAATGGTCACGTGTGCTTCTTTATTTGGCGCACTGATTCCCCGTGTACACCTAGTATTAGTATTACGTAATAGTCATCGACTGCAGTGCAAGCACTGACTCTATTCTTCGCAAATGACAGAGTCATTATGTACATAATACACCGTCTATAGCTACTGTACAATGATTGTCATTTGTGTCATGTACATTTCGCAGCCCACTGTTCACAGGACTAGGGACGCGCAACGCCCAGTCACGTACTGCTACTTGCGCATAATAAAATCACTTCACAGGTCGGCGAACGTGTCGTGCAGCAATCGTGATCTACTGAGCGATTGACCCGGCATCGACGAAGGACTGATGCCCCAATACAAGTAAGTATTTAATAATTAATTTTTAGTAAATGATTATGTCATTGGTTGCATGCACTGACCCTATTCGTTATATTATCGCTAACCCGCGCTACAACTCTCTCTCTTCCCATCACCTATCACTGTTCCACACAGCTGCAGCCATCCACCGCTACTCGATCAAAGAACAATCAAGTCGCGGGAGCAGCGAAAGTGTCATTCGTGCTCTGCTCCGCGTTTGACGCGGAATCGAAGAAGAACGTATTTATTTTTAAAAATATTTATTATTATTATTAAACCAGTGAAAATTATAATGTGAAGAAGAGGTTGGTGCGACTTCGGTGAGAGTAGGGGAAGAGTGTGTTGCTCCCTATATGGGAACTCGCGGTTTTCCTGCCGAGTTGAATCCTCACTTGAGTGACTCACGACTGCCATCCAGAGAACACCAGAAGTCCATCATATAGTTATAGCTCTCCAGGCGCAAACATCACCAGGGATACAAACTTGCAGAGACGCTTCGTTTCCAGCGCGACCTCGCGAACACCAGATAGCAGCGTGAGTCAGTGTCGCTCATGGAGGCGCTGAGGCAAGTTAGTTGGCCATTTACAACGTTGTTGCGTCCAAACCATCTATTTATAGCAATACAAACTGCTTTATGGCAGTTTTCTAAAAAAAGTTATTGTGTTCTAGTCCATGGACCCCGTCTAAAAATTAAGAAATTAACGAAATGTGATAACCGAAAATTAAAATTTCACACAAAACCTCACAATAATCACAACACTTGAAATGCTGCTTTCAACTCTTAACTTGTACTGCACCAACAATTGGCAACATGCATGTCATGCATGCATAGGAAAGAGGATCATGAGGGGAAAGGTCTTCTACATGTACAATGTAGCTTTTCATTCTGTGTGTGATTATTGTGAGGTTTTGTGTGAAATTTTAATTTTCGGCTATCACATTTCGTTAATTTCTTACTTTTTAGACGGGGTCCATGGACTAGAACACAATAACTTTTTTTAGAAAACTGCCATAAAGCAGTTTTTATTGCTATAATTTCTTTTTGTTTTTTCTGTCACCAATCAATGGAATGTCTTAGATCAATATGTAAATGATGGCCTTCACATCATATCAATACCGTATTATACGCATTGATGTGCAAGCCTTTTCTTGCAGAAAATGGCACTAGCATGTTCTTCTGCGGGGAAACATGGGAGTAGTGGTGGACCGTGGTGATACTTTTTTTATACGGAGGTCATTCTGTGCATGTTGCTGTAGCAGAATTTCATAAAATTGTCTTGCCTTTCAGATATTTCAGATTTCCCCACTCTCGATCAGATTTATTTGAGAAATGTAACCAGGTGCGTGTCACAGATGTTTTTGTTGATTCTGTGTTTATAATGGTTTATAATCATGGGTTATCGTGATAAGGTCATCCTGCATCATATTGCACTGAAATCGTTATCCTGTTGATGTCGATACAACTTTTTGAAGTAGTTCAATGACTTCAAACTGTTAGTCCACGATTGTCTAAAACAACACAGCAAAGGAGGAACAATAAACATGTATTAAAATGTAAACAAATACATTGCTGAATCCGACACCTCGTTCCAACAACTACACTGATCCTGAGGATAAAAGGGGCAAGGCTATGGTTGGAGGCACTGAGAGATAAACAAGGCACTCCATAATAATAAAATCTTACACATCTTTTGGTGAGTATGAATGATATCCAGTCTAACCTCTTTAGGACGAACACCAAGGGACCGATGGTATTTATTCTGTGAGTTTGTCTTAACCTATTTTATAACCAGTGAATACAATTATTTCTCCAATAGACATACAAATAGATTTCTTCTACAGCGAAAGATTGTAAGCCACACCAAATCATTGACTCGTCTCGTATGAAATAAATGAGTCACTGGAGAGGTTCTGCAAAACGAAAATGCGTACAAACTTTTGTTCTACGTCATGAAGTGCGAAACTTCGCACGAACTTTCGCAACTTTGGACGCGAAACTTGCAGGGAACGCGAAATGAACTGTCGTTCACACTTTCGTGAGATAGGATTAGGGCGTACGTGCGCTTGGACCGCGCAAACTACGAAAATGTGCAGAACGCAAAGTTCGTGCAAAAATTCGTACACACTTTCGCAAGGACTGTCGCGAAACTTCGTTCGAATTTTCGTTTTGCAGAACCTCTCTACTGAACGTTTCTTTAGCAACATGACGGCAACTGAAACAGGAACAGAGAAAGTACGATACATGTACAGCACATTCTTGCAGGTACTACAAACAGATTGCAGATCGTAATTCTTGCTTTGGCGGCACGAAACTTTATTTGGGGCAGTGCAATCTCGGTGGTACTCACAAATAATAAATCAAACAGCCCAGACTCGAGGAAACAAATCCAATCATACAAGTACGAGATCTTCACGAGACGAGACTGCACCCATTGGCTGTTTTCGTATGAAGCAAACAAGTTTACTGAACCTCTCCACAATGGAGATTTTCCCTGATACAATGTATGCGAATTTATTTTGCAAACTCGGTCAATGGGTCCTTGAGTCTTTCCCTCCAGATTGGGAATTGCCAACAATAGTATGCCACTGACCAGTGCCTTACTTGTAATGTACTAATGTACAACGAATATGAGTATTTCGACAACACATTTAACATAAGCCTTACCACACACACACACCACATCTAAAATCCTGCCAATGTTACAATACATTCACACAGCTACTGAAGAATGCAACATACTAGTTGATATCCAGCCCTGCCCTAGCTTCTCCTGCTTTTCAGTTCCCCTTTCATTCTTTTTCTTTCTCCCCTCTAGCTCTATTACCGCCATGGCTGGCTATCGCCCACATCACCATTTCATTGGCTAGTGCCACGTGATTGTGAATAAATAAAATAAATAAATAAGAAGGTGAACTCGCGTTCTTCGCACACTGTAGACAAGGGCAAAGAGATAAAAATGGATCTAAATCCGAATAAAATCAGCACACGTTTCCGTAAATGAAAGGGTGAGCAAAGGGAAATGAATCGAAGGAAACCGGTCAACTCAGAGATCACCTGTCATCGAGTACTCCGTAAAAGGAAAAGAGATCCTGTCAGCTTTTCCATTATTTATTGCATTCCGCCCAAAATCAGCACACTTTTCGTAAATGAAAGAGTCAGCACAAGCAATTGAATCAAAGGGAACTGGTCAACTCACCTGTCATTGAGTAATATTCCGCGAAAGGAGGTCTCAGCAGCGCCGGAACGAAATAAGCCAGGCTAGGAGACGAAATATCCGAAACAGCTCATACAAGAAGCAGTTCCAAAGGAGAAAGTTCCTCGCGCATGCACATCCAAACACGGACTGCACTGCAACACAATGTCTGCCGTGCACGTGCACAGCACGCGGCTACCACCCGTTGGTAGATCTAATACCGAGCACCTTACGTAGAGACTTACGTAGCCGAAGTGAAATACCGAGCACCTTACGTAGAAACTTACGTAGCATAGCGGTGTCGTTTTTCTTGCCATGTGAACACAATAATAGAAAAGCTGACAGGATCGCTTTTCTAAGTTCGCAAGCCCGCGCTGGGGACAACAATGTGAATCCTATGTTTGAATTCCAGCTCTGGTGTGTCCGTTGGCCAAGTGGGGCCGATTTTGTTTTTCAGCATTGGCGCGTGTGTTCTTCGTTTGGCCTTGTGACGCGGGTTGGTTTTGAGAGCACTTGTTCTTGGTTTTCGCTGGCAAGTGTAGTGTTCACATAATATGGACTGTTACACATGGAGGAAACTTTCCTTTACCCAGCGGAGAGGGCTCAATAAAATAATGCAACACAATATCTTGGAGCACTATTACACACTAACGGAAGAAGTGTTTACAGACTTCTTCGAAACTCCGACATTCTCGCACAATGCAATCACAGGCGACTTATAACGTTATCAGTGCAATTTGGCCAATATGAGGTATAGTTTGATAATGCACACCTTGCACGTCTACATATATATTCACGCACAATCTATACTTTCCGCGCTAATAGGTTCATCGCCCAAGTTGCCATCCACACGACCATCATGGCAATATTTCTGTGCTTTTTCAATACCCACAAGCTATCACCAAGCTATGCCTCTCATGAATTCCTTTTTACTTTTGTGCTTGTGCCTTCTAGAGTTGCATCTGTGCATCGCAACACCAGAACTCGCAGCGAGCACAGTGCTGTCAGTGGCCATGACC